GCTTGAACTCGCCACAATAACTACAGTTCCTCGTACTTACGTTTAGTCGTCTTGTTAAGATACAATATCAGTCTCGGCTCTTGTGTCAGGCTGTCTCCGGCAGCTCACACCGGGATGAAGACGAAAAGTACGGACAGTGCTGTAACGGTGTGTCAAGCGGCGCCCCGTTAATGCTACTGGATGAAAACACTGCACGGTACGTTACCTGCCACGTCGGGACGTCGGTGGAACGCACTGACGTCACTCCTCCATGGAACGTTCTTCTTCTTCTGGCGACCTGGCGGAGCATTACTGCCACCTACCGTTGTTTTTGTCATTTATTCTTCCTTCATGGTTTAGACCTGACGGTCCATGCTGAAAGTGATTTCGTGTCGCATTCTTTGCACAGTTACCCTCATGATCACCCTCTACACCCAAACATAGCCCACCTCACACTCTGTCCAAACAAATCCAGAGCATTCAGGAGCAGAATCTAAAGTTAGAAGGAGGACATACTGGCTGCTGCATTGTTGTCAGAGAAGCCAGCACTTCAACATAGCATGTTTCCTTAATGATCAGATAGTAAGATACCTTTATCATCTCACTCTCTACACATCTCACTGATTGGACCTTTAATATGAATTTACCTTCTTAAGGTCACTTCAGTTTAGCTTAAAACACTGCGACAAACAGGACGTCATAAAAGGAGTCAGGCAGTTTGTTGATTTAATTTATTTTCTCATCATTGTTTAATTGTCATATCAAGTTCATGATCTCTTTTTTTGTTGAAGAACAAAAACAGAAGATAAAATATAAACAGCAACATGTGTGATGAAGAGCAACAGAGACCTCCAGAGTCCGAGACGTGGAACTGAAAATGTCTGAGAGCAGAGCTGCAGATTTAAAAAAAACACGTGCACGTCTTCAAAACTGTGTCATCCCAATTTTTTCAAAAAAGAAGCTCCACATGCTGAAGAATCTGCAGACTGCTGTATGAACTGAGTGATAAACTTCAGATGCTCCACATCTTTTAAAAAACATCCCACTGATCCCCCAAAAGCATCAATACATAAATGAATAAATAAATAAAAACACGTAGAGTCTGTCTGCAGAGTTTTAAACCAAACTGTGACTTATTATTTTTTAAATTAAATCCTGTTACAGACTGGAGTATAAATATAACATCTGATATAAAAAAAAGAATCAATCTCAAAGAGGAACACCTTCACTCTCTCTGATTCGTCTCCTCACATGAAGCTCCTCCTCCTCACATTAGGCTCCTCCTCTTCCTCCGCTGCTATCTGAAGAACTTGGAGGGGAACAGACAAAAGCAACAACAGGCAGAAAGTGTGAAGCGTTACTGAGAGCATGAATAAATACAAACTTAATTAATTAATTGTATATTTTCCTCATCTTGTCCCTTGTTCTTGATCATATCTGTGACTCCTGTCTCTTTGTTGTATATTTATTGACTTATTGATTTATTTATTTCTGTTGTCCTTAAATCGAGCTTGTGTGTCATTACCCAAAGAAACCACACGAGGGCGCCAGTGTGCCTGCTCCATCTCTGTTTAGTCCTGATTGGTGTCGATACATGTCGGGGCGCGGGGGGGGGGGGTGGGGGGGTGTCCCAGCTCTTTATGAACGGGGGTTGTTTTGTGTTTGGAGCTAACTCTGTGTTTGCTGACATGTAGAAAGATTTAATCGGGTTTAAAAGATAAAAGAAGTTGATCTGTCTGTGTGGATGCTGAATATAATTAGGAGAGACGTGTCGGGGGGGGGGGTCTCCATCTGTCTCTAAGACTAAATCTGCAGCCTGATGCTACGTGCTAATTCTCTTCTCACAACATTCACTGCAGCATGCTAACTGATAGCTAACTAGTGGGCTTACCTGGTTAACCCAGGAAAGGCTGGAACAGGAAACAGGACAGACGGGTTAGCGTGCAAAGTTCTTCGATCTGATCGGACGTTACAAACGATTTAGTGTTTATAAAAAGCTGCAGTATGAGCTCAAACCACGTTAACTAACCTCCCCATATAATCTGTCACTACTAAGACACTATGAAGAAATACAAATAAATAATGTCTCCAGTAGATGAATTAATGTCAGGCGGAGAGAAACCGCATTTTGAAGGTCAAACATAAAGAAGGTCAAACTTCAAAGTTTTATTCTAAAGACGTGAAGCAGCTGTGATGTACGTACCGGTTTCTCTTCCTCTGACTCTAACGGCGTGACTTTAGCCGACGATGTACTCGGTAAACTCTTCTGCTCGGAGACGGTCGGCGCTGACGGACTCACCAGAGCTTTATTCTTCACCAGAGTGGTCAGAACTGAAGAGAGAAGAATGATTCAGTCAGATGTTTAGAATAATCTCAGTTTGAATACAGCGGTGTAGAACTGGTCTCTGTACCCTCTCTGGTCAGGTTCTCGGCGGCGCTCATCGCCTTCCCTCCGAGGTCGTTCACTAAGTTGTCCACCATGGCCTCGTGACGAAGGAAGATGGGCCGGACCACTCTGTTGTAGATGATCTGGGAGCCGTTCCACGACATCGGAGCCATGCACCACAACAGGAAGAGACACTGGAGGCGCAAGAGAGAGTCAGGGTTTCAGGACGAACTCATGTCCTCAGTGATCCAAGCCTCCAGTCAAATCTCTGAGGAGTTCATCTTTGAGTCTGTAGAGCGAGGACTACTCTCTCTAACAAAGGAAACGTTTGTCTATATGAAGCCCACAAGAGGCGTTCAGAAGAAGGTCAGAGGTGGGTGTAACAAATCAAACATGCTGCATTAACATGAAACGCTTCAAATATATAAATGATCCAAAGTCGAAAACACACATATTCAAAAACGAGTGCATAAAGATGAATGCTGCAAATCCAGTCTTAAATGTAAAAGCTCCAGGCCTGTAGAGGCGCTCTGTGGAACGCTGCATAATGACGGGAGAATGAAGGAGACAAGGAAGTGAAAAGTGGAATAGTCTGACAACACAGAGTGAATGCAGCAACCAGGAGATTTAAAGTCTGTTTTAGATTTTACCACCATAAGAGAAACAGCTGAGCGGGGTTCTGTCAGAGCAGCTTGAAACTAGCGCTAGCTCCAGTATAAACTGTTCCACAGAGCACCCCTAGAGGCCTGGGGCCCTTCCACTTAAAGGTCACATATCATCCTCCTCCTATTGATCATGTCTATAAACCCCTCTATTTCAGCCCTGCTCAGAACAGGCTGTTTCTGTGTCTGTACCTTTAAATATGTAAATGAGCGATGTCTGACTCCATGTCCTATTGTTTACGGTGAGAAGGCAGACTCAGAGGGCAGAACAAACACCTAGCTGTGGGAGTGTCACCCACCTGGGGGAGGGGCTACTGCCCTTTGTGATGTCATGAAGGGCACACATTTTCTGAAAAGTGGAGCAGGCAGAAGATGGAGAGGATGGACTTTTCTCATCATTGGGGGGTTTGTAGACGGACTAGAGACACATGATGAAGTGGATTTTATATAAGTGACCCTTTAAACGTCCTTTTTCTGAATTTGTGTGTTGCTGACTCTGTTTGGTTTAAGTATTTACAGTGTGTTTGATGTTAGTTCAGTTGTTTTGTCTTTCTTGCAGCAGGTCTGTTTCATTCGTTGTGTTTGTGTTGGACTCTTGGATGTGTTTTTGAATTTGCATCATTTCTGAATATTCTGCACGCAGTTCTTAACGTCAGATGTTTTGCCCCCCCGCTGCAGAGCCTTTGCACCAGGTGACCCCCGTGGTTTTCCTCACCTTGAAGGCGTAGTAGAACGGGAACCAGTAGAGGAAGATGTCTGAGAAGAACTCGCCTATGCTGAAGACGCCGTACACCACCCAGTACGTCAGCCATTTTGTGTCGTCTTCTTTACTCGTACTTTCGATGGCTTTGATTCTGCAGATAAGACAGAAAAGAATCGGTTTGTGAATGTTTCAGATTAACAGTGAAGAGAAAAACATCCCATCAGACCGAACAAACGAGCGATTTAATGGTCATGATGGCTGCAGGCTAACGCAGTGGACCAAGACACCAGATGTTAAATAATATATGACAGCAATGCATTCTGGGACTTGTAGTCGGACAGACATGTCTCTGTGAGTGAAAGACAAACACATGAAATACTCACGAGTAATAGGCTGGATAGACAAATCCAATCAGGTTGCAGAGCAGCGAGGCTCCATATCCATACACCAGGTAGAGTCCGGTCAGTGAGACGGCACCTGGACGGGACAGAGGGGGAGACGCACCTCATGTTGGAAATCAGAAACTCAAATCATACAAGAATCAGACGACTGTGTTTGATAGCTTTTAACACAAACGTTGGTTAAAATAACATTAAACAGTTTAGTTCTTTTAGTGTGTGGAGAGCAACAATATGACCCAAACAGCTCAACACATACTAACAGATTATTTCCAACACCTCCCGTCTTAAAGAGGACATATCACCCCCCTCCTCCACCTTTTCAAACAGTCCCCTCCTCCACCTTTTCAAACAGTCCCCTCGTCCACCTTTTCAAACAGTCCCCTCCTCCACCTTTTCAAACAGTCCTCCTCCACCTTTTCAAACAGTCCCCCTCCACCTTTTCAAACAGTCCCCTCGTCCACCTTTTCAAACAGTTCCCTCCTCCACCTTTTCAAACAGTCCCCTCGTCCACCTTTTCAAACAGTTCCCTCCTCCACCTTTTCAAACAGTCCCCTCCTCCACCTTTTCAAACAGTCCCCTCGTCCACCTTTTCAAACAGTTCCCTCCTCCACCTTTTCAAACAGTCCCCTCGTCCACCTTTTCAAACAGTTCCCTCCTCCACCTTTTCAAACAGTCCCCTCCTCCACCTTTTCAAACAGTCCCCTCCTCCACCTTTTCAAACAGTCCCCTCGTCCACCTTTTCAAACAGTTCCCTCCTCCACCTTTTCAAACAGTCCCCTCGTCCACCTTTTCAAACAGTTCCCTCCTCCACCTTTTCAAACAGTCCCCTTCTCCACCTTTTCAAACAGTCCCCTCGTCCACCTTTTCAAACAGTTCCCTCCTCCACCTTTTCAAACAGTCCCCTTCTCCACCTTTTCAAACAGTCCTCCTCCACCTTTTCAAACAGTCCCCTTCTCCACCTTTTCAGTGCTCTTGAAAGTATTTCACATCTTGTAAATCAGTTTTGTCCTTGGTTAAAAAGAAGGTTTCACACTTGGTAATTGTTGGTTTGGCACTTCCCAGCCACCGTACAGAGTAGAAGTCCATGTGTGAACAGAATAAAGATATTAGACATGTTAGGACGGACTGGATCTATGAGCTCTATATCTGCAGGTTAACCCTGAACTGTGAGCAGGGCAGTGAACGCAGCACGCAGGTCCTGACTCACACACACACACACACACACACACACACACACACACACACACACACAGATACAGGAAGTGTTGTAAAAAGCGTCCTACCTCTGATGAGCTTACGTGGCCGTTCACACATGGAGCCGCTCTGCTCGGCCGTCTCTGTTAATCTGATTTAAAGAGAGGCAGCGGGGACACGGAGCACCAGGCACCGCAGTGACATCATGATACTGATCTGCTGTATGAGCAGCACTGAGGCATGAATAGACCCTGTTCACCGCCCCACGCTGCACTAAACTCACTCCTTCACTCAATATTTATTTTGTCTTTGTCATTGGATTCATCCCCTGAGATTCACTCCATAGAAAAGGTCCTATCATTATAACTTCTTTTACACAACTGTGCCCCTGAACTCATCACCAGGAGACGTGTTTGAAGCAGCGTTCGTGTTCAGAAGAAGACGAGGAGGTTGTGTTGTGGATAAGACAGCAAACAGACTCATGATGACATCACACATAACGGCTTCTCAAGGTATCTCTATGTCACAGACAGAGGCTGAGCCTTCTTCTGGAGTTGGTTTTATTTTTGGAGTTTGGTCATTAAACTCAGTCGGAGCGGTTTGAAAGTGTTACAGGTCAAAGTTAGTCGTGTCTTGTGACCGCTGTCAACAACCAATAGGAGCGGTCTCACCAGCACTAAGCAGGAAGCTGCAAACTTACACAGCAAAGGACGTGTGGTTCTCCTGGACGATGGAAAAGGAGGAGAAACTGGAGGAAATCACCAGAGACCAGAGTGCTCAGAGTCAAGACAAGACCAAGGCCAAAGTAAGACCAAGGCCAAAGTAAGACCAAGGCCAAAGCAAGACCAAGGCCAAAGCAAGACCAAGGCCAAAGCAAGACCAAGGCCAAAGCAAGACCAAGGCCAAAGCAAGACCAAGACCAAAGCAAGACCAAGGCCAAAGCAAGACCAAGACTAAGACCAAGACCAAGACCAAGACCAAGGCCGAGGCCAAGGCCAAGTCACCTTGGGATCCAGACCTAGACCTACACCGAGATCGAGTCAAGACAAGGCCAAAGCAAGACCAAGGCCAAAGCAAGACCAAGGCCAAAGTAAGACCAAGGCCAAAGCAAGACCAAGGCCAAAGCAAGACCAAGGCCAAAGCAAGACCAAGGCCAAAGCAAGACCAAGGCCAAGGCCAAGACCAAGACCAAGACCAAGACCAAGACCAAGGCCGAGGCCAAGGCCAAGTCACCTTGGGATCCAGACCTAGACCTAGACCGAGATCGAGTCAAGATCAAGGCCAAAGCAAGACAAAGAGCAAGGCCAAGGCAGGGCGAGACAAGGCCAAGACCAAGACATTTAGGGATCAAGACCAAGTCAAGACCAAGGCCAAAGCAAGACCAAGGCCAAGGCAGGGTGAGACCAAGTCAAGACCAAGTCATCTTGGGATCCAGACCTAGACCGAGTCAAGACCAAGGCCAAAGCAAGACCAAGACCAAGACCAAGACACTTAGGGATCAAGACCGACTCAAGACCAAGGCCAAAGCAAGACCAAGACCAAGACCAAGACACTTAGGGATCAAGACCGACTCAAGACCAAGGCCAAAGCAAGACCAAAACCAAGACCAAGGCAGGGCAAAACCGAGATGAGATCAAGTCATCTTGGGATCCAGACCTAGACTGAGATCAAGTCAAGACCAAGACCATAATTATCACTGAAAAACCTTATCTTGTGTGCAGTTGGCGTGTCACTTACTCAGACCGCGACACCGGGAAGTTCCGCAACCAAGAGACCAAGACCGGTCTCGAGAACTACGACACAAAATCAAATCATCCAGAAATGAAATCTTCTCCATCACAAAAGCAAACAGGAACTCCAACGACAGAAACCCAATCAGATTCCTATTTACAGATCAGAACAGGTTGGAGTGTTGTTAGTGAGATCTGGATCTGTGTGAGTTTAAAGGCACAGTGTGGTCTACATAAAGGTTCTGTTGACCCAGAACAGATCCAGCTCCTCTTCAGGTCTGAGTCTGCAGACAGCAGCTGTTCACCGGAGCCTCCATTATGTTCACAGGAGGATTAACTGAATCCTCTTCAGGTTTCGATCACATGCACCGAGCAGGAACAAAAACACTGAACACAGAACCATAGAAGAACCACCCGGAACCAGGTCCAGCAGAACCCAGCACAG